TTTGGTAAATGGGCTTATTAGTTTTCTGTGTGGTCAATATGAAGCTACAGCACAAAGACTGGAAACAGCTGGCCTGGTTTAGTCCAAAGGTAACACAATCTGCCCTCGAAGCTCACTAAAAACCACATGTTACAGCTTGTGTGGTTAAACTAAAGTGTAAAAATGACACTTGCCATTTTACAATTGGTTATACGCAGGACTATTTTCTTACCACTTACAGTAACTCACTATGAGAATATAAGTTAACAGTTAACTATGAAAAGTTAAATTCATTCCTGTAGCATATTTCAAACAAAAAGCTCTTCAAAGGGCTTTAATTTTGGTGCTAAACTATTTACAGTTTATTACTATTTGCAGACAAGCAGCAGTGCAGAGACTCGGGCAACATATTCTGTTACATCAATATACTGATAAATAAACATCAGTAAGTTTCTTCCAAAATGTATGTACAGTGCAATGTTCTGTACTGAGTCCTGACCTTGAGTAAAGCCTGGCTGAACCTCCTCATGACGTTCAGGTACATCTCGTGGGTCTTAGGATCTCTCTGCTGGGTGTCCTGATCCTCACACTCCACAATCACATACCTGAAGAACACACGCACAGGTTTTTTTTTTTCGGCAGATGTGCAAACACAAAATACATTTTCAGTCACTAAGCAGCTTTGAATTGTACTCACCAATACAAATAGTTGGCAAGTGTAGAGTTCTTGCAAGCACGGGAGATGAGAAATGTGCACAAATCCTGCTATAAGGAGACACAATGACATGTCAGTGCCAGGCTGAGACAAATAGATTGTTTGTTTCTGACATAATACTGAGTCTGACTCCATGTTGCTTCATCAACTGGTGTTTGTCTATGTGCCATGTGAGGATTAATACTGATTAAAACTGTACTCCCCTATGAGCAGGGATGGCTCTTGAGGGTGCCGCCTCAGTTTGGTTCACACATTAATTTAGATTAATTAAAAAAAAATAATGTGTTAAAAACCGGAAATTAATTTAATGAGCCATTATGGACACATTTACGACTAAGTGATTAAAGAAGGCTTCAGTTCAATGAATTTGTTTTTGAATATTTGGAAATAAAAACAATTTATTAGTTTCTAATGACACTTTTAGATATTTCTCTGTGCCACAATAATTAAAATTTTTTAGTTGGGGGCTTTTCCAAGTAAATAATGATAAATGTTGGCAGTTAAATCAGCATATATAAAAGTTTCCATCCCTCTCCAACCCATGAATATTTCTCTAGATCCGCCGCTGCTCGTGTTTTCTTTTCAGTGACATTTTGCCTTTCGTACCTCTAGATTCTCGCTGTCAGCTCCTTCCTTGCCTTTTTGTGGAGCAGGGGAAGGTCCAGATGTGCCCGACAGGATCTGGGAACTACAGAAAGAGAAAAAAAAAGAAAGAGACAAATTAACAGTTAGAAAAGACAGCAATTAAAATCGTAGGTGAACTTTCACTTAAACTGATGAGACGTTCAGTAAGGTTTAGTCACTGCTCTGTCTCCAGCTGAGCTTCTGGCCAGAGCCGGACAGAGTTACGCCAGTAACATCATAATACCCTAAGAGTTCATTACGGCTTCTGAAAGAAAAATAATCAAATTCCACAAAGAAGCAAATACTCTCCCACGCAGTGAGAATTTCTGGGATAAATTTAGATTTAGTTACAACGCATCAACTGACCCCAAAAAGAGCCTCCACATGTGCCTTGCTTCTGTCAAAGCTGCTAGTAGTGTTGACTTATTTATGATCCACGGCCAGAGTAGCTGTTCTAACTTGTACTCCAAGTACTGACCTGTCCAGTGCGGAGTCATCTGAAAGTCCCTGGCTGTCTCTCTTGCTGCCTGGCTCCAGGCCTCCCTGAATGTCACTGAAGTTCTCATACTTGAGCGCCTGGACCAGCTGGAGAAGATACATCAGCAGGTCCTAGAGAGATAGAGAGAGATAGAGA